AATATAAATATTTAAGAAATGAATACAGCTCAACCAGTGATTTAAAGGCTATAAAATATTTATAGGTTTCGTTCTGATTTTTTTCTAAACAAATTTACGCGTTTCAGTTTACTAGTTTTTTTTCAAGTTTGTTAAGAAACATATTCTTAGCATGGTGATATTTGGTTTTATTTTGACATTACTCGAGAAAGTTGGCATTGTAGAATCATAGTAAGCTGTATGTTTGGTTGGCATTACTTTAAAATTATTCAGTGTAAAAAAATTTGTTAGTGGATTACGCCAGGCCCTAGACTCTCAATAGTAGATTTTTTAACACTCAATTTTATAAAAATACAAATTTAGTTTCTTCCGCATTGCCAGATAGTGGAGTGCTTTAAGCCCTTATGGGATACAAACCTCGGAATTCATTTACTGTGAACGAATTTTTATAAAACTTTTTGCATTGTATTGTTAATAAGATATATTACAAAGTTTACCCATTTAAATTCGTTGCTTTCACTTTAGTATTTAATTAAACACACATATACAAATGCATACATACAAGATGGCTCCACATTCCGGAAAAGCTCTGTATCAGGATTCCTATTTGAGATTTTCACTTCAAACTTTCTACAAAATATGTGTTTAATGGTAGTTCACATTTCAAAAATATTTTTATAGATATACAGGGTGAGTCAAATTCCGGTTTCAAAAATATCTTAATACCATAGAGTATATTAAGTGGTTTTTGAATTATGACCAAGTCCATGAGGACGTCAATCTAGACGTCCAGGAACCTTCGTATGATAACTTCTAATAGAGAAAATCGACTTATTGTAAGTTTATCGCTAAGAAACCGCCGTTTGCCAGCTTTTCAAATTGATAATGAATTGCACTTAAGGAACGTACCTACATATTAACTAACGGACTATAAGAAGAAGATTAAATGAAGCAAATCTTATGTCAAGAAGGCCTGCTTCGGGACCAGAACTTCCTAATTGTGTTGACTAGGCCCAAAAGCAAAAGCATGGTCTTAATGTAAAAATTACGAAAAATGTTAGTGTTTTCTTCAAAAGCGAATATTTCCAACAAAAATAAAGCTAATGAGATGAACCAAAAAACAAAACATCGAGAAAGGATGTATCATCGAGAAAAGATGATAAAATGATTTTTAAACTTCTTGCTGTTTTAACATATTCCACGGGGTGTTTCAAACTTTCACCAAAATATCAACATTTTGTTTTTCCTCGTATAATTAACAGATGGGGAGTTTCATTTTTAGTTTAGAAAAATATACTAAAAAGTAAAAGAATTGGGCTACACACTGCTTAAAAAATCATCAAAATCGGCCCATTAAAACAAAATATATTAACATTTAAAATACATCAAAGTTTTAAGGTTTGGTTTGGTTGTTCAAAAACTATACATTTTAGTCATATACTTTTCTAATAAAAAAACCTTTATTTTTTTACTAGAATCCAAAAATGAATTAATATATAGGGTGTTCCATTACAAAAAACATAACTTTGATGTGTAACTTTTTTGGGGACGCCCTGTAGAACTCTACATAATCTTAGAAAATGCATTAAATTGACTTACATATGCTCACAAAGTTTCACTTCAATACAAACTTTTGTTCTTCTTGCAAAAACCGCGTCGTATATGACGCGCCACCCTGTATAATTCGATTTCAATCAAAATTTCAATTATTAGAATATAAGCAGAATAGGTATATATTATGCATTAGATTTATTTATTTTAATAAATTTACTTAGAAAAAGAATTAAAAAAATCAAAACATTAAGAAGGAAATAATTAAGAATTTACTAAAATTAAAAAATTAAAAGAAACGAAAAAAAATGGGTAAACATTTTAGTATTTTATCTATAAAACACAATACAGAAGGTTTCACCTTAATACATTCACAGTAATTGAATTCCGAGGTAAAAGTCTCTGGGCACTCCACTAAGACATTAAAGTACAGATTTCTAATTTATATATGAAGATGACTATGATATTTCTAATTTAACATTTTTTTATTACATGACAGCCCCTATGATGACTCCCATCTATGGACTAGTTTTGATCTAGCTGACAAAATGTTGGTTGGGTTCGGTTTACACGGTTCGGTTTACACAACTTCGTTTAGAAAAATATTCCAGTGACAACCCATATGCACGTCCCTGGTGAATATGTCGACACATCTTTAGCTTTAAAATATGTCGCATTTATAGTAACTGTTACCCTCAAAATTTCCTTCGAAACGCTATCTTCGAAAAAATATTAAGACTTCTAACACCCTGTAGCTACGAAATAAAGCAGAATTGGACCTATGTTGATATGAAAAATAAATCTTAAGGGCAGGCGGCCACTGCGAGCGAAACTAAACTAAGTCAAGCGAAGATAAGATTTGTAAAAATCAGCTTCCATACTTTTAAATGCATCAGCGGCCTCTTGAGCGAAACTAAACGAAAATATATGGACGAAGATTCGAAATCGTAGTTTAGTTTCGCTCGTTTTAGTTCGTGACAGGTTCCAGCGAATTTTTCGCAGCAATTAGTTCTCTGATAACAGAGATACAATACGAAAACGCAGCTAACTTAGCCGACTACTGAGCGAAAATTGTTCCCAGTGGCCGATGAAACTTATTTTCGTTTAGTTACCGTTTGTTTTCATATTCTTAGCTTAGTTTAGTTACTCTCGCAGTGGCTAAACGAAAATAAGTTTCATCGGTCACTGGGAACGATATTCGCTCAGTACTAGCTGCGTTTTCGTATTGTGTCTCTGCTATCATAGAACTAATCGCTGCGAAAAATTCGCTGGAACCTGTCACGAACTAAAATGAGCGAAACTAAGCTACGATTTGAATCTTCGTTCACATATTTTCGTTTAGTTTCGCTCAAGTGGCCGCTGATGCATTTAAAAGTATGGGAGCTGATTTTTAAAAATCTTATCTACGCTTGGCTTAGTTTAGTTTCGCTCGCAGTGGCTGCCCGCCTTTATGTTTACATGAGGAATCTCTCCACGAGAGATGGCTCGTGTTTTTTAAAACACACCGTATAGTATCTTTTAATAACAGTTAATTAGTAGCCTATAATATTTTTACTATATTATAATTTACGTGTTAAATTAAAAAAAATAGGCGCTATGTGGTCTATTGTTGGTGTTTAAAATGTACGTATTTATAATTTCATTTTTGTAACAGTAAAGATTTCAGTTAACGTCTTCTTTTTGCTGCCAGGGCTAATCTGGACGAGGCCTACTTTGTTTACGCGGAATCCGAACCGCGGTCCTCGGCCTCATGTCAGTGGCCTACCGACAAGTGTCTAAATTAACTCTTACTCACGAGATATCCGATCTCATCCGGCCTCGAACCGGCGTGAATGAGCAGTGTGTATCAATAGATTTTACACTTTTTTCCCTTGGACAACAGCACGATACAGAATTTCGAACCGGTCACCCGTCCATCAACCAGTATCGCCTTACGTCGCTTAACTTCGGTGTTCTAATGGGAACCGGTGTTTTAACGTAGCTAGGCCGTTGCATTTCATTTTTGTATTGACTATGTTACACTTCTAATGATCAATTATAACACAAAATGCAGTAAAAAAGTATATATTTATTATTTTATATTTTAAGCTTCATTCTGAACCTCGCAATTAATGGAATAAATGAGTGGGTTCAATTAGCGTAGAAGTTTATTTCATTAATTTCAATGTGAGTATTCAGAACATCAAAATTAGTGGTAAACATTTTCAAGTAGTACAAAAAGTTATCAAACTTTTTAACTTTTCCACTAATTGTACTTCAAAATTTGCGAGAAAGGTCATTTTGGTCCATTTTGGTCTTTGATTATCTTCCGTCAAGAGAAATTGTGGTTAGAAATCAAAAGTTGACTCTTTTATAAGCTAAGGGTGTAATCCGTTGCTTACCTTGGTTATGGTTTTATGTTCCGTTTTAATCGGTTTCCTGAAAGTTTTCTTATTACGGAACACAGTTCCTGATAAACTCGGTTATAACTGTCACCAAACTAACCAGCGCGAGAAGGCTGGTTTTTCTGGTTTTGTTTGTCAATCAATATCATTTTTGTAATAAAATTTTCATTTAATTTCTAAAATTAGTTATAATATTTAGTATTTACATCCAAAAGCAATGAAGGTAGGCAGTAAAGGTAAAGAAATTTCATTAACTAAATACAATGACTTTTTAGGACCAGTTAAACTTATCATGCAGCCATTGTTTCTTAAAGTCAGGAACATTTAAAGAAAACATGAAAAACAAGCAACAAGTAATCGTGAATATTCTGTAAGCTATAAAAATATAAATATTGATTAGATTTGTTTATTGTTATTGATCAGTTTTAATATTGGACCTGCAAATCTTCACTTGAGCTGTCTAACGAGTTTAACAGTTTATTAATAAAGTACTTTTCAATATTAAACTCCATTGAAAGGAAGAAGCAAACGTAACAGCAGAGAATAGGTACATGCATAAAAGACAAATTTTATAATAAAGGTATTGAAATTTTGAAAACGTCAACATTTGACATTTCCAGTATTTTACCAAACCGTTCCGTATCAAACCGATGTTTTTCAGGAACCGCTCTTTACCGTAGTTTACAGGTCTGGTTCGCCTGGTTTTGCAACGGAATACAGCCTAAATATTAGGCTTTCTCTATGGATACAACTGAGTAACGCAAGCTGTTGCTAGGATATTTTATTAATTTTAATTGTATTTTTTAAATATTGTGAATGATCAAAAACTAAAAACTATAAAGTGTAATTGAAACCACTCATTTATACCACTACTTGTTCTACGATGTTCTGAATGAAGCTTTACAAGGAATAATTTTGCGCTTGAATAACGTTAAAGGACAGTTAAAATTATGTTATGCCAAAACTTTCCATTAGTTTCATCCGGATCACCAGGTGGTCCTAAATGACGGACTTATTTGTTTTATATCAGTGTCCCAGCATGGTCCCAGCTATCTCTAGTACATGACATTAGTCTATGATATTTACCTTCAGCACCGATGGATACCAATTTGACGCCCTTGCTGGCAATGAAATCTAGCGCTTTGTTTACGTTGGCGATCTTGTGGAAACGCATCTTTCCTCTGTCTGGCTTGGGCAACGTTTCCCCAGATATCACTTCCAGCAGCAGCATCAATTTCAGCCCATTTCTGAAGTCTTCGTCGATGTTTTCGATGCCAGTGCCAGCCTTACGCAGATGACTGTTACACCATGCCGTGAATGTCTGAAAAAGAAATAAAACATATTAAGAAATCTCAAAACTAGATAAATAATAAGTTGGTTTTCTTCTAGGATGAACACCAAATATAGTTCACACCATGTTGTGATGGGATACTAAAAATAAATTTAGTTTTCTGTTTACATTCATTATTTAATTCATAAGAGATCATAGAGAAAAAATGTCATCATCTTGACATATTTTTATTATTAACCCTCAACTGGCGTCTAACAGACCCCAGGCACTATTTAAACCTCTGTAAAATGTTTACGCTTAAGAATTAGGCCTCGCCGCGCTATTTAAGTATAGTTCCTACCAGCGGGGGCTAAAGTTTCATTGGGGTCTGTGTGGCACCACCACGCCAAGAATGTTTCATTATTATAGGATGGTGGGTAGTCTAAAAAGTGTGCCTCACTGGGACGCTAATTTTGAGGAAGCATTGAGTGGTTTGATGAACTTAAAGAGGCTTAAGTGAGATGAAGATCATCGAGACATTCATTTTTCTCCGAAGAGTAACCATAACTCCGATTCTGAATCTCTTACTCATAGAAGAGAGAAAATTGAATAATCAATACCAGAAAAAAAAGAGATGTGACATATGTCAACCATATGCCAACGAAGAAATGACAAAAAAATCTCATGAATAAAAATGGATCGTGCACCATGTGCGGCAAAAGCAGATCCTATATTAGCATGAACTGTATTTGAAAAAGTTATGTACATTCAAGGTTTGCAGTTTTGTTGAAAATAATTTATGTTTACTACTTTAGCTTCACATTACAGTTGTTTGTACTTTTAATAATACGATAAAATCATAAAATATATATGTTTTTAAATTCTGTAGGTTTCTTAGCCCAGTTATATTTCTGTTGTCAAAAAAATGCCTAAAAAATCCGTTTTACTTTATTTTTTGTCCGTTCTTATTAATTTGTTGAACATTAATGAAATTGTTTGTTCACAGGTTTGAATATATTGTAAACAGTGTTAAAATAACAAGCTTTTTATAAAATCTCTTGATGTATTTTTAACTGAAAAAAAAATTGGGGTCCATCACACCCCAACACGCCATCAGTAGTGCAGAAGTCCACCACGCCAGTTGAGTAAGAAATTCATTAGTGTTGAAGAATGTGTAACTGCATTGTATAAATATTTAATTTTTATGAAGAAGAATAGAACAAAGCACAGTTATTTACTTAAGGTACAAACATTCCATAGTATTCATCACTACATGATAAAATGTGAAGTATTCTTCCAAAAATTCTAATGACAACTAAAATTATTGTCAATTATTGTCAATACCATTGTTTTAAAAATACTGGATATTAAACAAGAGACTTACATGTTTACTGAATCCTAAAAAAAACAGTTTACCAAATTATTTATTTTAAAATCTTTTTCCAATGCAAATAAACATTCATAATGTTTGCTGTGCATTACATTTAGTTATATATTAAAACATTCTTTTATTATTAATAACAATAATAATATATTTAAAATAAAAATACACCGCAATTGCCGTCGCTGTTTTTCAAAACAGATCGTAAAGTTAAAACATTTCAAAACTAAAAATATTCTGAATCTTAAAACCTGTCTGTCTACATCGTAGGTGTTGAATTCGGCCTACAATGTTTACTTCCACGGGCCTAAACCTACTAACAGTTCGTTTCAAAATAACTCACAATTTATATACGAGGGTATATCAATACCTCATTCATCGTTAGTATTAAAGATACTAGAATTACTAAAAAAAAACGTTTTAACAAAAACAAAACCAGAAACATCAATCGGTTTATCAAATTATTAATACATCTTTTAATAATAGAAAGATTTATCTACGAGGCGTGTGAATGCGGTGAGTCGTATATTGGATGCAAAACTAAATGTACTATCACTTAAGCATAAGCATTTCAAGATAAGTGGTAGAAAGTCTGTGTTGTACAAAATGAGTATTAAGTGCAATTTATCTTAGATAGAAACTATCGAAAACAGAAAATAGCCATCTTATCCGACAGTCAAGCAGCACTAAAAGCGATCAACTTAGTAACCATCAATTCGAAGTTGGTCAAAGAATGCCTAGAAGAGCCGAACAAATTAGGCAAAGAAAATAAAGTCCTCCTACTCTGGGTGCCCGCTCACCAAGGGATAGAAGGCAATGAAAAAGCAAACGATCTAGCTAGAAAAGAAGCAAACACTCCACTAACTGGACCAGAACCGTTCTGCTTCCCAAGTGGAAACCAACTTAAAGCGGAACTGAAGAACCTGGAAGACTCCATCCGTAACCTGGAATGGGAATCCTCCAACGGTCTAAGACACTCGTAAAAGTTCCACAGAACTTACGACCGAGAAAAATCAAAGATTTATGTAAAAACAATCTTCGGATTGTCACAGGGTTTCTAACAGGACACTGTCACCTCAACGAACACTGCAGTCCATTGTAGCTGAGAAACGACGGCGAATTCAGATTCTATGTGGAAAATGGGAAAACACTAGAACACCTTATCACTGAGTGCCCCGAGAATACAACCAACAGCTCCAACTAAATCAGCTCCACAGAGGTTGTTTTTGCCAACACAACTAGTACAAGTGGAAAAACGAGAATTTTAAGAAAGCTGGTTCTTTAATATATCTTCTGCTATGCTCTCCAGACCAAGGTCTTCTGGCTGTCTGGCTGCCGGTAGACTACTGCGGATCACATCTGTATAGAGTATCCCATTTTCGTGTGTTTATGGGATTTCTCGTTAATGAGTAGAGATACAATGATGCGATTTTCACATTACTTAAATACCTTTTTATGAAATTAAATATGCTACACATAGGTTTGTCCTACCTGAAATACAGGGCGAATTTGTAATGCGCAGTAGTTAACAGATGTTGAAAACAGATATGATGAAAAGTAGTGAACGCAACGTCTACCGGCAGCCAGACTTAAAATGATCTCTCGAAAACGTTGCTAACTCTTGGACTATAAGTAAAACAGCGAAATCGTTTTGGAAATGAAAATATAAAATGAAACCAATCACAAGCAAATCGTACATACGATGATCGGACGCATGAAAATGCAATAAATTTGCCAAACCAAACCAAACCAAGAAGTCTATAAATTTAAACAATAAAATTAATACCGTATCATCGTATCGTCGGACAACGGATGCATGAAACCTATAATATTTTCGTCTATTATTATTATTGCGAACTAGACATAGCATAGAGAAATGAAACAAGTTTAGATTGGAAAGTGCCCATAAGGAAAATGTAAACAAACACTATTTGGCGCTATTCTTGCAACGGTCGCGACCCAAGCTTTTGAAAATTTCGGAGCGGTTCGGCTTTTTCCGGAATTATATAGCCAAATATTGTTAATTCAAATTTATTATTATTTTCCTTTAATTTCATAAATAAAATACAGTGTGTTGCATACAAGAAACTTTATTTTATATAAGGACATGTATGGAAATACATATGAAACATTGGAAACCGACGTTATGCGACGATCCATGATGGTTTTTGCAGTTCACCGGTCACAGCACAGCTTTTTAAGGTTTTAATATCACTGTTTTACAATTATCACGGGTTTGAGTAAATAAAACTTAAATTAAACTCACAAGATAGCAATAATTACTTTGAAAGTGGACGCTTTAAACACTTTTCGGAATTTTTTCAATGAGAGCGGTTTAGATTTTGAAAGATTTCATAATTTTTGAAGATTCTAACTTTGACAAGAGATATAGACAAGAGAAAATTATTTCTGTTTTTGTTTGCGGTTGTTCTTAGCAACCGCTATAGCAGCGCCAGATCGCGTACAACGGTCGCGACCCAAAATTTTCACGAGCATTTCAATCTACATTTATTTCCTTTATCTATGAAACATAGTAGTAACTAAATGTCGTGCTATAAGTATATTATTTATATTAAATTTTTTTTTAAAAATAAATACAATTGGAAAGCTACATTGTAGTCTTTGATCGATCTTCGTAAACTCTTATTATAATAATGAATTTCACTATTAAATCAATCCAATCTAACTATTAAATCGATTTCTCCTTCAAGAACATAAATTCTCGTTAACTGAAACTTTTCTTTTCGAGTGTCTTCTTCTATTATGCCTATTTGGTCGTTACAACGAGCGCAAACACTTTAATTGCCTTGTTCAAATTTACTTCTTCGCGTAAAACTATACTTGAGGCGGCATCGATTTCTTCGTGGCTATGCCGAAAGGAAAAAGGAACAAAAATACCACCAGACACTTATACATTGTCCGTAATTTAAGTATATCTTTTGTTTAAAGCTAGTTTCCGTAAAATTGTAACTGTTTTCTTTTGATTTATATGTTCATGGGAAATAAATTCGCACTAAAGACTCCGAAACAAAGGACATGCATGTCAACTATAAGAAAATCAAATAATTATTCCTTATATTTATTAAATAAATCAAATTACATTGTTTTCCGTAATTATGATGTTATATACTAAATGGAGGACTTAAAGAGATTAATTATTCATCATATGAAAGCGGTACTTAAGTGGTTCGGATTGAACTGAGTCATTTATTAAATATTAGATAATCTATCGCAACTATAGGACACGATGTTTGATATATGTACTGATAAAATCATTGTTAGTCCCAAATGCAAATACATTTTGGACTGAGGAAAGGAGAATCTTATCTAACGCAGTGATCTGTGGTTAAATATCAATAATATACAGGGTGAATTCTAAATAAGTGCAAATATTTTCAGGTCTAGTAGATCTCGATAAAAGAAACATATTTTCTCTTTACCGTTTTCAGATAAATCCAAAATAACCGAGTTATTCAAGTTTGAAAATTAAGAAGAAAATGATTTATTTTTAAAAAATGTTGAGAGGCCACCAGATTTTTTTTTTGTATTTACATCTTTTTTAGTGCCGTAACCATAGAGTAAAGCCGTAACTATGGTAATATCAGAGATTAAGAAATTTTTCTAATATAAAAAAAGTTTTCTAATATATACAGGAAAAGAAAATGTACGA